CCATTGTTGCAAATTGTAAAACGTATTGAAATTGCATATTTTAACATAATGGATGGCTACGGCCATATCACGATGAATGCACCTCATCCCGTCCGATTTGAGAAGTTAAGCATCGTCGAGCCACATCAGTACTGAGGTTGGAGACAACTTGGGAACCTGTGGTGCTGTAGTCTTTTTGCAGTTTAGTATGAAATGTATTGAAGGAGGTGGACTATTTCAGTAAAAAATGAGGGTCAAGCCGAGATTATTTTTTCAATAATTATACATATTCAATACCTAAAAATTTGCCAATTTACGTAAATACATGCATGAAACTGATTTCTAAAATAGTAAGAGCAGAGTGCAAACAGCTATCTAAAAATTCACTTCTGACTGCGTCGACCGGGAATTGAAATTTCCTTTTTTGGAATTCATTTAACTTTTAATTTTATGATGAAATTATGAATTATTTATTTTAATATTATTCATGATGTGAAACATCATGTTGAATTCTGTTCATTATTTTTAATTCATGATGTGAAACATCATGTTGAATAATTAACAAATGTTGTTCTTTAATTTTTCATTGAATGTTGTTCTTTTATTGAATGTTGGAAATATTGGAAATATTGGAAAGTTGGAAATAAAAGTTGGAAGTTAGGTAACGGGTTTTGGAATTACCTAATGTGGCAATTGAATTCAATTCTGAAATTGAATTAATACAATGTTTTTTAAATTATTATTTAAATGTATTTCACACATTAATTTTGATAATGTAATATTAAAGATATTGATAATTGGGTATAGGGAAACGGAATTTCCTAATTAGGAGTCATCACAATAAAATTTATTCATTAATGATGTTCACAAACTTTGAATTAACACATTACATGATGAATTACATTTTCAAACAATTTACTATCGGGTAACGGAAATTAATACATCCATAACATTAAATATTAACCATCGGGTAACGGATTTTAATACATGTACAGTATGTTTATAATTGGTCGACGCACAGAAATTTAAATAAAAAGAATTAACAATAATAAAAGCAAAATGCTCACAACATTGGAGAACGGGAAATGAAATTCCCAAATTAAATTGAGAAACAACACAATCACAATAATTCATACTATCAAAATGAATTGAACCCGGGTCACGGCGATGGCAACGCCGTATTCTACCACTAAACCATCGACGCTTCTTGAATCATTATTCAGGCTGTTTATTTTATTTAAGGTAACCCTGTTAGTAATCTCCCGCCATTTTTAGTTGTTTTCATCTACAGTCATGAAATTTAATTTAAAAAAATGATGCAACAACACCAAGAATGTAATGCTCAATACAAGTCCATCAGTAGAAGTATCGAGCAAACAACAAATCAGGTGAATGTTCATTTGAGAAATTTGGATCGGCTGAAGAAGAAGATGGTCAGTGAGGAAAAGAAGAATGCCATTAATTTATTAAAAAGTATGAGAATTGAAACTGGTGGAGCAGAGATACCATTCAGTAAACCTCGGAAGAGAGGAATTACATCGAAATTTTCCAATGGGGTTGGATTAAAATCAGAAGACTTGGCTGATGAATATTTGGTTCCTTTAAAACAGAGATATCCTGAAACTGGGTGTAGGTTTTGAATATTGTTTTCTCTTGATGGAGATGAGTTTACACTTATATTGGAATTTAATCATATTGAATTGTTTCAAACAATTGTTTGATAATGGTTTCAACGAGAATAGATGATTTTGAAGTGAAGGATATTGAAGATATCAAAGATTTCGATAAGGATTCTAAATATTATGAACAAATGCATGAATTGATCCACTCTCCACGAAATACTATTCCTGATATAATAGATGAAAAGAAAAAGAGAAGAGAGGAGGAAGAACGAAAAAGAAGGAGGAACAAGAAGAGGCTATGAGACTA